GGGGGGGGGCGCCTGGAGGGTCTGTGGAGCCTTCCAGCCCCACCCTGCCAGCCCCCGGGGCCAGCGCTGGCTTTGTCCAGCAGCCAATGAGACACTGGGCACATTTGAGCACATAATGAGCACACTCTGAGGGTGGCAGCACATGATGACATCACGGCCCTCTCCTGGCCTCTCTTCCCAGTTGCCTAATGGGGTTGTCTTGGTACCCTCAGCCCGAGAACTCATGGCCCTGGGTTTGTAAATGGCTTTGAACTAAAGGTATAGATTCCAGAGGCGGTCGCGTGTGGCCCCCGTCCCTCAGGGGGACCCTCGAAACACACACGGGAGAGGACAGCTCCATGTGGGGTCATGGCTCGGAGGGGGCTTGTGGGATGAGGCTCCGACCAGGAAAGAGGAGGAGGGGCCGGCCCCATGCAAAACAGGCCGCGGGGAGGGGGGCCACTTATCCTAGCAAGCAAAAAAGCTGGGCTGGCTGGCTGCCGAATTAGCCGCATAGCGTTGTGGTGTTTGACGAGCCACTTCACTCCCTCGGCTTTTCCATCCTCATTTACATTTAGATGTGGCGGTCCCTTGGGCCCCCCACGGCCCTACTATCCTGTGAGCCTTTACATTTAACCAAGAGCCCTGGAGCCGCCCCCTGGGTCATCACTCTCCAGACTGTCATCCCCCTGGCCCCCCTGCAGACAGCACCTGTTTGCGGTCTCCCTTCTTCTTGCTTTCTGCCTCCCAATTTATCTCGGATCGATTGGTTCATACTAAGATGTTAATGGCTGGCTAGTTTCGGGAGTTTTTATCCAAGAGAAACTTGCATTTTTAAAGGGAACTCTGGGAGGGAGATAAGATCTTTAAGTCCAGAGGAAGGAGCTCTCTCTCTTATATGGGGGTGGGGGCCCTGGGGGGCATGCTGCACTGGGGTCCTCTGGTGACCCTGAACAAGGTCCTGAACGCCCCCCCCCCAGCAGTCACAGCGGTCAAACTGTGCCCTTGGGGATGTGGCTCGGCTCTAACCTGCCATTGTCCCTCCCAGTGGGAAGTGTGGCCACCTTCAGCGTGCATGGCCTCGGGCTGTGGTGGCTGCTGCGGGCTGGCAAGGAGGAGCTGGGTGGGACCCGCTTCTGTGCACAGGGGCTTCCCTCTTTTAAAGACCCGCCCTATCCTGAGACGACTGAATTGCAAGGGTGCGCTGCTTTGATGAGTTATGAAACAAAATTCAAACAACAGGGATTTCAAAATGACAGAACAAGTGCCCAGGAGACCACCCTGAAGGAGATTGCTTTCACTAATGCCCTTCTCAAGTCGGGGGGCGAGAAGCAGAGGCCCTCTCTGACACAGTTTGATAGACAATATTAGGCTTAGACCCGTGCCTCCGTCCTGAGCCCAGGAGGAAAGTGATGTGCCCACGGTCACCCACTTTGCTTACAAGGAGAAATAAGCCCGCACTCTCTGCCCTCCATATCTCTGCTCCATTCCCCAGACTTTAACATCTCTTTAAACATCTGATGAGTAAGTCAGCCCACATACTAAGCTGAGAACGTTTAGACTCCGAAGTCTTCTCTCCTGAGACACTCCTTAAAAAGTCTAAATGCAGGCAATTGTGTCCCACACTCTGACCTCCCACCTGCTCTGTGGACTTCTTGGAAGATTCAAAGAATTAATGGAATCAGGGCTTGCGAAAGGTGAGCGTTTTAGAATTCCTCCGTGCAGCGGGGCTGCGTTTGGCATTAGCCGTGCCCTTATTTCGTTTCCGCAGCACGTGGCCGGCACCCCCGCGGGCCAGCCTCCTTTCCTGTCCCCACAGAGCACCAGACACGAGGCCACATCACAGTGAGCCCCCGTCAGTCGCTGGGAGGCCCGAGGCAGAGTTGAGCGGGCACAGGTCTTGTCCCAAGCAGGGAGCCTCACCTCTCCCCCGATGCCCACCTCCGGGCCAACAGCAGCCCCACGCGTGTAGGACCTACCTCCTTGCCGCAAAGCCACACTTCTCAGCCCAGCATTTCTGCCTGGAGACTTGAAACCCCCCATGTGGCATAAAGAAAGCAAAGTGAGAAAGCCAGCCAGCTCACCCCGTTTGAAGCCGTGAGGGCAGTTGGGAGAGCATCCCACAGGCAGGCCGGAGGGTGGCCGGGGCAGAAGACAGGAGCTCGCCCCCCCCTTTCTCAAGTGGTGAGGGGCTCGGCCTAGAGCCTGCAGACGTTCAGAGGATACACCTGTGTGTGACACTGTTTCCCAGAATCAAAAGCGTCTTCACTGTTTCTTGCAGCTCGGAATGAACAGGAGGAACAAGAGGAGAAGAGAGAGATCAAGAGGAGGTTAACTCGAAAGGTGAGTGGCTTCTCCAGGTGGGAGCTGGGACAGGAGGGGGGGGGGGCGCCGGGCAGCTCTCTCAGTGGTCCTGCTCCTTAGGCGTGAGAGCGAGCGGCTCTGGGCTCAGCAGGACCTCTCCTGGGGACGGTGGTCGGCTCAGTATCATGACCCACAGGCCTTCTGGCTGGTGACATTCTGTCGCCTGATTTTGTGACACACACCCACCCCCAAGGAACTTGATGGCAGGTGCATTATATTTTCAATCACAGTGAATATTTTGTTTTTTTAAAAATTCACCAAATTCGGGCACCTGGGTGGCTCAGTTGGTTAAGCGACTGCCTTCGGCTCAGGTCATGATCCTGGAGTCCCGGGATCGAGTCCCGCAT